GAGATAGATCAAGTATCGACCATTATAAAGACTGAAAAATAAAATTAACAAAGATTATTGTTTAAAGTTGACGGACACGCATGTCTTAATTAGTTTTTTTTTTTGTTTTTTCGTTTTTTTTTTACAAATTGGTCAAATTGTCTTGTAAATGGAATTTTTAAAGCATTCTGAATGTAAAAATAAAGAAAAAAGTGTGTAAGAAACACTACCTGCCAAAAAAAAAAAAAGAGGTCTTGTTGAAATAGGTTGAAAATGTAGGAAATCCGATCCCATATATAAACGAACACACACACAAACACACACACAAACAACCTGGGTTTTATAATAAGTATAACTCGATATGAGTTGTCCCCCTTTCATTCTGGCGACAGAATCGTGTTTTATCGTGTTTTCAAATTGATTTCGTGCAAAAACAATTGTGTTTTTTCAATTTTTGGCGCTATCAGAACCACCGCAAGGTAATTTTACGCAGTCCTGTGAAGTTTTGTTGAAATCGGTTGAAAAATGTAGGAAATCCGATCCAATATATAAACGTACACACACACACACACAATCTGCGTTTTATAATAAGTAAAATTAAAATTTTCAAATTTATAACAATAAAAATCACAAGTTTATGTTAACAACTGCCGTAAAACGTTGCTAAGTTATTTAAGATGGAATTATATATTATGACAAGTCTCTGATTTGTACATAGATACATTGTATTTATTTTCAATTTTTCTAGTTGAATTGTTCACCTATATATCTAATATTGTATTAGGTTACAATAAAATTTGAATTTTATATGATTACTACCTTCTAGAAATTGAGATGTAGTAGAGTAGAGACCCCATATCATAGATTGGGAGGGATACCATAGATTTGGGGGGCGCATCATAGATTCGTGAGATCACGAGTCCCTTGCAACGACCCTGCTCTAATTATTATTTACGTACATTGTATTTATTTTCAATATTTCTAGTTGAATTGTTCGCCGAATCTGCATATGATCCATTATTGTGCATAATTAGGTTACAATAAAATTTGTATGTTATATGAATACAACTTCGTAAGTTGAGGTCTCCGTGACCTTAGATTCGGCTGTGGAGGGTCACAAGACCCCCGCACTAGCCCTGCATGTAATAACCCATCACTTTAAGTAACAATCGTATTAATTTTTGGTCATTAAGGAACGTTTCCTTTAAATTGCAAGGGATACGATAACTCAGCGGTAGGTATCTCAGTCGAAACAAGCGTTTTTATATTCTGAAAGAACGCTGACTTGGAGTCAAATGATTATCAGACACGCAGTTTTCTTATCAACGAACCGAGACAAATGCTTTGAATAAGAAATTGCGTATGTCTAAAAACATTTCACTGAAAACTCATCTACAGATAAATGTTTATTTTTCTTAAATAGCTCTTAAAGTTAAGGTATGTGACTGAATTATAAATGCTTATTGGAGTGAATTAGAAATATGTATCGCTAGCTGCCTACATATTGTATGACAGAAGGGCACAATAATATATATATATATATATATATATATATATATATATATATATATGCGTGTGTGTATGTATATATATATATATATATATATATATATATATATATATATATATTTGGTTGGATAGATGTGAGTTTGTAACCCTGGGTTTCACGCTTTAGCGATCATCAGACAAACTGATTAATGTTTTAAAAAATTGGGGTTTATGTAGATTGCGTGTATTGGTGTTATTATGGAAGTGGTGGGGGAAATTTCGTCGTTTTGTCATTCATCGTACTAACGCAAACATCGTACTAACGCAAACACATATACATACTTGGTCGTCCGTCGGGACTCATACATATATAAACATATGTGGGCAGTTTCGGCTATGACACATGTATGTATACGGGTGGTGTTATATCTATACATACGCATATGTATGTTGAAATGTTGAAATCTAAACATTGGAAGTGTGGGGGAAATGTCTCGTTGATGTGTATATGTCATATGTATTTTCCAGCTGGATAAAATATTTCCTCGCATGTATGTATATGCGTGTGGTGGGGTTTGTGTAAAATTATGATAGATAAAGATTATTATTATTTATATTTATTTTTAAATTTTTGAAAAAAAAAATGGGGCTTTATTTGTTATATTTAAATCTGGTTATTTGTTTGTTTTCGGTGACTGTATATGTAACAGGTAGAAATTTGTAATCCTTATTGGTTAATTTATATGGTGATGTTTAGTTTAATATTCAATGTGCTGGGTGAGAGGATAGTTCAATTTAATAACGGGTTTATATGGTATGATGTGATAGTAATGTTTCAAAGGATTGGAGACA